AGAGAGAGGGGGGCCTGGCAGGAGGGAGTTGTTATAGCCCAAATCTAATGGGGCCTCTGGGTCTGCAAGCTGCCTTGTTGGCCCAAGGGGGGTTGAGTGCTCAGCCTTGAGCGGGACTTGACACAAACAGGTGATAAAGGACCAGATAGAGGGGGGTTTGAGTGCGTGGGCTCTCTTGCAGCCAACATCTGTTCAGCCTGCCCTGCAGACAACACAGTTCAGCCTGCTCTGCACCCAACAGTAGTAATACTGGGGATTGAACCCAGGGGCCCTTAACCACTGAGCCATATCCCCAGCCCCTTTTATATTTTATTTTGAGACAGGGTCTTGCTAAGTTGCTGAGGCTGGCTTTGAACTCACAATCCTCCTGCCTCAGCCTCCCAAGCCTCTGGGATTACAGGCATGCACCACTGTGCCCAGCCTGATTTTATTATGACAATCACCATCATGAGTCACTTGATGACATTTATGTGCCACCTGCAGTGTCCCAGCATGAGGCACACAAAGATGCCCAAGGCCTGGTCCTGATGGCCAAGGGTGTGCAGGTTGGCTGGGGAGTTAGACACCCTCTTGTCTTTCAGACTCTAGTCCYACCCTCTTCCAGTTCTTGATTTATGTTGCAATCTGGGTGGCGTGGCACACCCCAGCTGTTTGGTCCTGTTCCTTCCTTGTGGAAATCCTGATCTGGTAAGACCTAGGTTTCTTCACATTGACAAACAAGTTCTRTATGGGTCAGAGAGCAAATAGGTCAGGAACCCGGGTCCTGGGGTGCAGGTGTTCAACTCTACTTTCATAGCAGGAAAGTAGCCACAGACTGTTGTATAAATGTAGAGATGTGGCTGGGTACACTCCAGGGCTGTAGTTTGGGGATCCCAGCTGGACCACACCCAACACATCTCCGATGCTGTTTGCTCCAGTTATACCCACTGCCCACCCGAAACGTGCCTCCCTTCTCTCCTGTGTGCTTTTGGCTTACTGCTCTCTCTGCCTGAAACACTCTTCTTCTCACTCCTACCTGGATAAATGAGGCTTGTTTTCCTGGTTTCCGCTTAGCTCTGCATTCCTCCAGACAGCTAGTGTGCCAAGACAGGATGGGGACTTCAGCAGTGTAAGAGGTGACGGGCTGTGGCTTTGCACGCTCACACACAGCAGCTCTGCTCACACACAGAGGCCTGCAGTGGATGACAGGGACCTGTAAGAGATAACTGCAGTGGCAGAAGCAGGAAACACAGCAACGGGACGGAACAATCCCCCTTTAGGCTTAGGGCAGTGAAAGTCCCCATGCTGTGAGCTGAGAGTCCCTAGGCTGTTGATGAGCTAATACCTATGCAAGGAATGTCGAATGCACCCCCCAACAGAATTGCACCTACTCCCTTGCCTCAATGTGCCCCAAACTCACTTATGTATAAAAGTAAAAGCCCTGCTGTGCTCGGGGCTCAGACTTTGGGAATTATCCCTCTGGGCCATGGCGCCACTAATAAAGTGCTGCTTCCAGATCTCGGTGTCCTGACCCCCATTTCCCACTACACTTCATCCTGTCTTTCTGGTGCAGGTATACACTATTTTTTCCAACATGCTGCAAATACTGCCACCATAGGAATGCACTGTTACAGTGCCGGTTCACAGAGAGAAAATTCCCTGGAGATGGGGAAAAGAAGGTCTTTGTTCTATTGATTGATTTAATTTTAGGGAGAGCATCTGGTTCATGCCAAGCACCGTTCAAGATGGTAGAGTTTCGCCAATTAAAAAAAAAAAAAAAGTATTACCTTTTCTTGGGGAACACAAAAAGGAATAAATAAGATCACAAATGCAGGTTTTTAAAAGTCTGTTCATGTTTAAGAAGTAATAAAATGAATTGATGAGGGAAGGGTGAGGTCGCCTGATTTAGGTGGTGCAGAGACTTCTTGTCTAAAACGGAAATGGAAGGGTGAGAAGGATCCCTCCAGGCAAAGAAGAGGAGGAAGRAGATTTCAGGGGAAGGAGACCGAAAACACAGGTCCTGTGGCTGGAAGGAGCTCAGCTCGTTTGGAGGGAGCCGGGGAGGCATGAGCTCCCGTAGACAGAAAAGGGTGGTTTCCTTTGTGAATTGAGTCCTGGCTTCCCTGGCAGGGGCTGGAAAATAGTGGATGCTCACTCAGCCACTGTGTTGAGTTGCCTTTCCCAAAGCACATCTGGAGATGAGAACTGTGGCTCAGGAGGTGGGCTGGGGTGGTGGCTCAAGAGGCAGGGAGGTGGGCTGAGGTGGTGGCTCAGGAGGCAGGGGGTGGGCTGAGGTGGTGTCTCAGGAGGTGGGCTGAGGTGGTGGCTCAGGAGGTGGGCTGAGGTGATGGCTTAAGAGGTGGGGAGGTGGGCTGGGGTGGTGGCTCAGGAGGTGGGGAGGTGGGCTGAGGTGATGGCTTAAGAGGTGGGGAGGTGGGCTGGGGTGGTGGCTCAGTGGTGGAGCTCTTGCCTAGCATGTGTGAGGCACTGGGTTTGATTCTCAGCACCACATATAGAAACAAATAATAAATGAAATAAAGATCCATCAACAACTAAAAATAATTTAAAAAGAAGTAGGGAGGTAATGCCGGAAACCAAATGATAGGGAGGAGGAGGCAGGAAGGGAGGAAGGTCAGCCACAGGAGCAGGTTGCTCCTTCTCATGGTGCAGCCTTAAAGAAATGGGGTCAGCCCCACCTCCACAATACACAGAGAGGCCAGAACACTGGCATCTTCACCCACCAGGCGACGTTGGTTGGAAGTAGCAGGGGTACTAACTTCCGGAGATTTCTACCTTGCTTTTCTGCCTTGTGTAGCCGAGCAGGCTCCTGCTGCTTGAGAAAGCGCCTGATGGAGGGACTCAGGCACCTGAGGGAGGAAGCCTCCGTGAAGCTCAGGTGGCCCCTAGAGAATGTGGGAAAGCCACCAACTGGCCCTGCTGTGGCAACTAAGAGAATAAGTAGCCGAGTGGATAAAGGAGTGCAAGAATGACTAATCGTATTCCAGAGAAATAAGCCTAAAGAAATGAAGGGCCCTGTCCCAGGGGACACCTGTGGTGGCAGTTGGGCAAGAGGATGGCAGATTGTGCAGATCTCTTCTCACCGAGGGGGGAGGCCCCATGTTGGAGTCTGGCGTTGGCCCTGGGGGGCGTATTCACATTCACACTCTGGGAATTGGCAAATGCTATAGGTCACAGCTGCAGCCCTGAAACCTAGTTGTGTCACACACAGCTTATTGGGAATGGGGGTGTCACTACTGGGTCCCAATTCCTTCCTTACATCCTGTGGCCTTGTTTTAGTCAGGGATGTTTTTATTTTTGTTTATTTTTTTTCTGCTCTGACTACAAGACCTGACAAGTACAATGTTAGGAGGAAAAGCTTATTTGGGGGCTCAGGGTTTCCGAGGTCTCCGTCCACAGACAGCAGGCTCCATTCCTCAGGGCTGGAGGGGAGGCAGGACATCATGGAGGAAGAGGGTGGTGGAGGGAAGCAGCTCACATGGTGATCAGGAAGCAGAGAGAGACTCCACTCTCCAGAGACAAATAGAGACCCCAAAGCCACGCCCCCAATGCCCCCYCYYCMRSCMMCACCCACCTCCTCCAGCCMCCACCCAGTTAATCCCATCAGGGGTYCATTCACTGGTTGGGTTAAGGCTCTCACCACCCAGTCATGTCTCCTCTGGACCTTCCTGCACCGTCTCACACGTGAGCTTTTGGGGGACACCTCACATCCACACCATAATAGGCCCGTTAGGTCCAAGGCATCCTTCCTGGGGAGGCTTGTATGCCAGGCCCTGGAGATGGTGCCCCTCCCTGGCTTCATGCAGAATGAGGGCAAGAGCCATTCATCCGTCTTATTTCCTGTCCTCCTCCAGCCAATTGTTTTCAACTCTGACTTGCAAATCCACCAGAAAGATTAATAGCATCTGCCACTGATATTTCTCATTAGCTCTCATTCCTTCCAAAGTGGGAGAGGCTTGCCCTTCTTCCCAGGGGGAAAAAAACCTGTGGAGCCATTACCTGTGCAAAGACCATCCCCGCCCTGGCCGATGGTGGCTTAGGGATGCCGATTACACTAGGAAATGCTGGGCTGTGCTTCTGTGCTCTCTCACCTGCCTGCATTTCTAATCAGGCTAACAAAAGAACTCTCTGTGGGCTAATTTTGCCCATTTGGAGAGTAATTTTTTTGTTGTTAGGAACAGAGTCATAGATCACCCCCAGACAGTGGTGAAACGAGAGCCTTTGCCGGAGATTTATGTAGGTCTCCTGACCTCGAGGGAGGTGACGGATTGGGCTAGTGGTTATGATGCTGATTATCTTTGGATGTGCTAGAGGGCAGGTGACTTTTTTCATTGTTTGAATCTGGAGCTTGAGGAAACCTGGGAGCACAACGATTTGATAATTCCCTTGATTGGGAAGATGGGCTTTTGTCCCCAGGGTTGTACCTGCAGTGTCTGTGAAGGTGAGCGACACAGCTTCATTACTAGAAAGGTGGGTACAGATGTGCAGAGTCCAGATTTTGGAGAAAATGACACCCCCCCCCCTCTCCCACATCAGTGTCTTTATGCCCCTCATCAAGTTGTCTGTAGCCATTTGTTTTAGTCAGCTTTTTTGCCACTGTGATTTAAGGACCCGACCAGAACAACTGGAGAGGAGGAAAAGTTTACTTGGGGGCTCACGGTTTCAGAGATCTGGGTCCACAGACAGCAGCCTCCATTCCTCAGGGCTGGAGGGGAGGCAGGACATCATGGAGGAAGAGTGTGGTGGAGGGAAGCAGCTCACATGGTGATCAGGAAGCAGAGAGAGACTCCACTCTCCAGAGACAVATAGAGACCCCAAAGCCAMGCCCCCAATGCCCCCTCCTCCAGCCACACCCACCTCCTCCAGCCACCACCCAGTTAATCCCATCAGGGGTCCATTCACTGGTTGGGTTAAGGCTCTCACCACCCAGTCTCACACTGGAGTCCTCTGAACCTTCTTGCATTGTCTCACATGTGAGCTTTTGGGAACATCCCACATCCCAGCAGATGCACGCCTGTCATCCCAGCAGCTCAGGAGGCTGAGGCAAGAGAATGGTGAATTCAAAGCCAGCCTCAGCAAAAGCGAGGCCCTAAGCAACTCAGTGAGACCCTGTCTCTAAATAAAATGCAAAACAGGGCTGAGGTGTGATTCAGTGGTTAAGTGCCCCTGAGTTCAATTTCTAATACCTCCCTCACCCCAAGGAAAAAATTTAAAAAATAACTATAGTTAGTGGTATAAGAGGAAGAAGAAAAAAGAAGATGAAGTAGAAGATTCACACACATACCTGCCTACACACACCAGGTATTGGATCCAGGGGCACTCGACCATTGAGCCCCATCCCCAACCCTTTTATTTAGAGCCCTTCTATTTAGAGACAGGGTCTCCCTGAATTGTTTAGGGCCTTGCTAATTTGCTGAGGCTGGCTTTGAACTCATGATCCTCCTGCCTCAGCCTCCTGAGCCGCTGGGATCACAGGCATGTGCCACCACTCCCCGTCAGGAGAAGATATTTTAATATTTGTTGAGGATTATGAGCCTGAGGTGTTCTCTCAGTTAATATGGACAACAATCCTACGAGGTAGGCAGTGTCCATCTCAAACCCTTTGACCATCCAACTACCAAATTGATGTTTTGTCGGCTTCTTGAACTTGTCACACTTTTCCTCCCTGAGGACTGTCACATAAGCTGCTCCCTCTGCCTGGGGCACTTCCTCTCCTACATTTTGCATGGCTTCCTCTTCTTTATCTTCTAGTTCTTATATCCCATATAACATCCTTTCTGTCTAGAACAGCTTCCCCTTCAATCATTATATAGACACAATTTCTAATGATTTTATTTGTATATTCTTTGGGGTTCTCTCTCCTTCAAGCAGCATTAAGCTCCATGATAGCCAGAGAACTTCTTTCCCTGTCTCTTCCCTGGTGTGCTGATCTTTCTGCACTCAGCAGCAGGAATACAGTTGAGTCGACCATTAAACATCTGCTGAAGGAACCAGTGGCTCAGCCCTGATTTATCAGAGGTGGTTACTGGGATGGGGAGTATGGCAGGACAGGATGGGAACTTTAGGTGCGTAAGAGGTGACAGGCTGTGGCTTTGCACGCTCACACCCAACAGCTCTGCTGACTGACATTTAACCAAAGAGGCCTGCAGTGGCTGACAGGTACCTGTGACAGATAACTACAGTGGCAGATGCAGGAAACACAGCAGTGGAGACAGAACAGTCCCCTGCTTTGGCTTAGTGCAGTGAAAGTCCCTAAGCCGTATGATCTAGGAGTCCCTAGGCTGTTGACAAGCTTGTACAATATATCAGGAATGTAGAATGCACCCTCCAATAGAATGGCACCACCCCGGGGCCTTAATGTCCCCCAAACTCACTTATGCATAAGTAAAAGCCCTGCTGTGCTCGGGGCTCAGACTTTGGGACTCATCCCTCTGGGCCATGGCACCACTAATAAAGTGTTGCTTCTGGATCTTGGTGTCCTGACCCACATTTCCTGCTATAGGCGAAATACAGTCATCTACCCAGTGTCCCCTGGCTAGCAATTGGCTCCAACTCGAATCTGCCTAACTCCAGAACTGCCCTGCTCTGTCACTTGGAGTGAAATGGCTGAGGGAGGACTAGAAAGGGAACTGCCTTCATTTCCTCCCACTTTACATTGGCTCTGCAGCACGAAGAGAATCTCGACAGCTACCCCAAGAGCTGTGTGTCCCCTTTGCCTTGATGGTTCTATTTACAGGACCAGGCCCCCCCCCCGCCCCCCGCCCGGTCTGATGCACTGTAGGGGAGCTGACTTCACTCTCTCAAACATGGAATCCTCGTCCCTGTAATGAGCTAATCACTCAGCAGGATCTGACTCTTCCTGTGTCCTGCCGACATTATCCGCTTAATCCTCACCAAAACCATGTGAATTTCATGTCGGTCACACAGTATGATTTCCCTTTAATCAACCTGAAAGCCACAGGTATCACATTTACCTGGAGTCTAATGCTTTGTGTTCTCAAAGCTCAATAAAGGCTCCAAGAAAAAAAAAAAAAAAAAAAACTAATGGTGTACATGGTTTCAATAGTTGGGTGCCTCCTTTCCACACCTATAACTCTTTGAACAAGTTAAATACATACTTATCATTCCCTCTTAAGTTTCACGTGGCGGTATTCATCAGACCCTGCTACCTGATACACAACTTTAATATGAGATGAAAAGCCAAGGTAGTTTCTACATAACTATTAAGCACTGAACTGAACAAGATTCATCTTCAGGTGCTTTAACTTGAACTTGAACTTGATGTGTTTTAAATGCCCCTCCAAGGAATTTTTTTTAATTACAAATTTGTGAAGTGGTTAAGTGTGATTAAGTGATTATTCTATTTCTATTTTCTATTCTGTTTTTTGGGGTGGTTTTTTTTTTTTTTTTTTTTGGTACCAGGGATTAAACCCAAGGCATTTAACCACTAAGCCACATCCCCAGCCCTTTTAATTAATTAATTTATTTTTGAAACAGCGTCCCATTAGGTTGCTTAGGTTCTGGATAAGTTGCTGAGGCTGGCTAGAGATCCTCCTGCCTCAGCCTCCCCCAAGCTGCCTCCCAAACTTTTAACATAGGAATATTAAGCTTCACACGCTCATCACAACACTGTTGTCTTCAGGAAATATGATCATGTGTGTTACATGTTGGGCACAACAACTGGCCCATCAAATGGCCACAGTGGCCAATGCTACCACGTGTACTTTTTTGGTTATACTGAATGCTGAAGTGTATCCTTCAGTTATCCAAAGGCTCTTACCCTGAGAAATGCATATGTGCAAATATCACACAAATCTCTCTGTGAATTAGGAGAGGGTGGCACATAAGTATATATTCCTCTTTTTAAATTCTAGCAGGCTGCGTGTGGTGGCACATACCTGTAATCCTGGTGACTTGGGAGATTGAGGCAGGAGGATCACAGGTTCACGGCCAGACTCAGCAACTTAATTTTCTCAGCAGTTGAGGGAGCTTTATAAAATGACCCTGTTTTACAGATTAGGAAACTTAGAGCCAGAAAGAGTTCTCTCTACAGCTACAGTCCAGGGCTTCAGACTCCATGGTAATTTCTAGAAGAAGTCTTACCACAAATGCTATTTTGACATGGTAGAGGGGGTGGGATATCCAGTATTATATGATGAAATATAGATTCAACTACTGAACAATTAAAATCACTTTCTCCTTATTCCCCATTCCTACTGATAATGAAATTATTTGGCCATGAAAAAAATCAGCAAATCTGCACCCCAGGGACAGAGATGGGGGTCCCCTTCAGCCTTGCTGTTCTGTACTTTATTCCCAGATTATGGAGTGGGCTGGAGTGGCCTCTGAATGCCTGTAACCCTATGGGTTAGGTAGACTATGAAGGAAAGCAAGCACTCTGAAAAAATCTGTTGCTAGGATGTTGACTCCCGAGAGCTGAGGGTTGTGTGGATTTGCCTAGGGAGTGAATCTAAATTTCCTACCTTTTGGCCTGGAACAACTTATCACAGCACCTACTATTTACAGTAATAATGTCTGCTAATATTTGTTGAGTGCTAACACTGTGTGGGGAGGATCTGTTCTAAATGCTTCACACTCATTAGCATATATGAATATATCTTGCTTCCTACATCTAATATATATATATATATATATATATATATATATATATATATTTTTTTTTTTTTTTTCCTTAATGGAGCTGGTTTTTTGTTTTGTTTTGTTTGGTACCAGAGGCACTTGACCACTGAGCCACATCCCCAGCCCTTTTTTATATTTTATCAGAGACAGGGTTTTTGCTGAGTTGCTTAGGTCCTCACTAAGTTGCTGAGGCTGGCCTTGAACTCGTGATCCTCCTGCCTTAGCCTCTCAAGCTGCTGGAATTACAGGTGTGCACCACTGCGCCTGTCTTGTTTCTAGTTTTTAAATACTGATTTAAATACAAATAAAACTGTCCACCAAACATTCCCTGTGAAGGATTCATAAGGCATTGTGATCATTAACTAGTCTCTTCCATGGGTGACCCATTAGCACACGGCTTTCCAGGTCATTGACTGTGACATTACGTCTCCTCCCTCTGATGCATGGCAGCTCTTTACACACTGAGAAGGGACACAGCCCTGGTCCCCAACAATTCCTCTAGCTCACCAGATGATTCTCTAGACCTCACCATCGTTGCAAGTTTCAAGCCCCAGCCTTAACCAAATATGAGGGAGCTCTTTGAAAGGACCACAGCCACCCTTGAGCCAGACCCTAAACTCCTAATTTTAATTATTATATATAATTAATGCAGATATAAAATAAAATAGATAAAATACAAAATATTAAATATATAATAATATGCATAACAAATCATATTAAATAGAATGTATTAAAATATTACACATAAATATGTAATAAAATATATAAAATATCATTCTATAAAATAAATATTAAAATTTAAAAATATATCATATATAACATATATGCATTACATATTTTTAAAATATATAAAAACATAAAAATATCATATGTAAAATATATATAAATAAATAATATTATAAATAAATATATATATGATATATACCATATATAAATAAATTATATCATAAGTAAGTATTCATATATCATGTATCATGTATATGATTTTATTTCACGTACATAATTTAATTTACATATTTAGGTCAACGCCGTCCTAATGGCACCTTCCCTCTCTCTCTCCCCGACAGCTTTTTGCCATCTTTGCATTTGCAACATGCGGTGGCTACTCTGGAGGCCTTCGGCTCAGTGTGGACTGCGTCAACAAGACAGAAAGTGACCTCAGCATCGACATAGCCTTCGCCTACCCCTTCAGGTAGGCCGTGGCCCTTTGCTCCCCGGCTTCCCAAAGAGGGGGCTTTCTTCCATCTGGGGTTTCTCYCAGGGGCTTCTGGGTACACTGAAAGGACCCTGCTCACACCCGTGAGATTCCCAAAGGGGTGTCCCCCCGCTTCCCCACCCCAGAAGGATCATGAGTTGTACCTGCAAGTCAGAATGGACGGTCCTCCAAAACAAAACAAAACAGAAAAATACCCCCAACAAAATCAACTTATTACCCAGGATATTGGGGGCGATCAATACAGCTACCCCAGTTCTACAGTTCTCCTCCATTCCATTTCTCCATCCTTAGGGTTTCCAAATTCTCTCCAGGTTGGTGTCACCTTTCWTATCCTATTGACTATGCAGTTCTGGCTATTTAATGCATTTAATAATATTAATACTGAATACTTTTCCCTGGGCCGGGCACTCTGCTCAGCCGGTTGACCTGTGTAATTGCATTACATCATCACACTGACCCTGAAAGGGTGTACTATCACCCTCTCCATCCACAAATGAGGAAACTGAGGCGCAGGTGTGTTTGCTCATATTCCCTTAGCCAGTGAGAGATGGGGTCAGTGTTTGAGCCCCCCTGTCTTGAGCCAGGGCTCAGATCTCTATTGATACACTTAAACTGTGAGGAGTGTAAGCCTCTTTACAAATTCAGCATGAAAGACCATGCCTTATCTATGTTTGGGTCCTGTATACTAAATGATGGCTCAATGCCTATCCCAAACCTCACATCTTTTGATTCGGATCTATAGAGCCAAAGTGGATTAATTGAACTCAAGGAAAATATGGTGAATTTATGTAAAACTCCCATATAATTGGCATCAAATTACGGGTCTGTTTTTCAAAAACAACATACAATGCATTATATTGACATCTTGTTACTATACTCTCCTGTTCCTTTCAACTAACGAATGTTTGCTAGTATTCATTTTGTACCAAGCATGGTGCTGGTGCTATGATTACAGAAAACGAGTAAAAATTGGCACCCCCACACTTAAAAAAAAAACAGATAAGTACAGTGTTTTTCAAGACTATTTTCATGGAGACCTAGATAACTAATGTTACTAAATGGAAAGAAATGAAGGAGGAAAAATAGGAAAGGAGAAGAGGTGGGAGAGAAAAAGAGTCACTGGGAGGAAGAGTGTTAAAGTAGAATCAAATCTAAGAAATACTTTTTAGCACTTTTTTTTTTTTTTTTGGTACTGAGGATTTAACCCAGAAGTGCTTTACCCCTGCGCCACATCCCAGCTCTTATTTATTTATTTATTTTATTTTGATACTGGGTCTCACTAAGATGCTTGGGACCTCACTAAGTTGCTGAGACTGGCCTCAAACTTGCAATCCTCCTGCCTCAGCCTCCCCAGTCACTGGGATTACAGGTGTGGGCCGCCACGCCTGGCTAGCACTTTAGCTTTCTAATGCTCATTTTGAAATCATCTAAAGAAGCACGGTATTCCCCCCAAATACACAAAAACTCATTTTTTCCCCACTGGATATCTCAGAGGCTTTGTATATCATGGAATGTACCTTTTCAATATTGGTCTATCAAACTTTTCCTAGTCTAAGACAAAGCGGCCTCAATTCATAGGTAATGAATCACAGAGAAGTGACATTTATACCAATATTCTGACTGTTAAATTTTAAGATTTGCAGACACCCTTGCACCAGGACTGTTTTTAACTAATTACAGAGTAGAGCTCAGAAATACTAAGCATGTCATCCGTGGCAATCTGGTGGTGATAGCTAGCTGTGCTGGTGGATATGGGCTGGGGGTGTTTGACACTTCTGAAAGTTCTAGATGAAGCCTTTGGCTTGTGGAGGAGAGTGGCCATGCTGATGCCTGCTCACCCAAGAGCATTCAGGATCTAGGGTCAGAGTGGAGAATTGGCAGTGGACAGGAGATGGGCATGGGATGTTCACTAACCTCAGTCAAKAATCCATTAAGTCAGAGTCAGTAGCAGTGGCACACGCCTGTAATCTCAGCAGCCTGGGAGGCTGAGATAGGAGGATCATGAGTTCAAAGCCAGCCTCAGCAACATCAAGGTGCTAAGCAACCCAGTGAGACCTTGTTTCTAAATAAAATGCAAAATAGGGCTGGATGTAGGGCTCAGTGATTGAGTGTCCCTGAGTTCAATCCCTAGTACCCCTCCCCACCCTGTAAAACAGTCAAGGTTGGGAGGACATGAGCTTGAAGCTCTGGGCTGGTCCTCCTGGGCTCTCTTCCTCTGCCACACAATGGTCCATCCCCATCATCCCATACCCTGAAGACTCTCCAATACCTCCTGGGAAGCCCCAGTCTCCTAAAAGCAATGTAAAACCCACYGTTCAGGAAGAAAGGAGCCTTTTATCACAGGGCCTCAGCAACTTAGCCAGGCCCTGTGTCTAAATAAAATATAAAATGGGCTGGGGATGGGGCTCAGTGGTTGAGTGCCTCTGGTACAAAAAAAAAAAAAAATTTAAATGCTGGGGGTGTAACTCACTGGTAGAATGCCCCTGGGTTCAATTCTCAGTAAGGCAAAAAATTCATGTGCTCCTAAAACTTCACAAGCCAATGTCAATGATTTGCTCATAACCCGAGAAAWAAGAGCATTCAGTGTCTTCTGTTCAGTTTGTTGCAAAGATGAGGACAACAAATTCAAATGCCAAGTCATCTGAACAAAAACAGTTATTTTGCAAATGACAGATCAAAGAAAGCTACTGAAGTGGTTATCAGACAAATATTTCAAGATGTAAAATAATGTCAATTAGAAAAATCCTAGCTAACTCACAAAATACCCAAGTGCTGCTTTTGATAACTTGGCCCAAATAGGCAATTCCTTTTCCACCTCCACACATGTGTATTTTTGACTTGTGCTTTCTTTTGGGGCGGGGGTACCATAGATTAAACTCAGGGGCACTCGGCCTCTGAGCCAAATCCCCAGCCCTATTTTGTATTTGATTCAGAGACAGGGTCTCCTGAGTGGCTTAGCACCTCACTGTTGCTGAGGCTGGCTTTGAACTTGCAATCCTCCTGACTCAGCCTCCAGAGCCTCTGAGATTACAGGCGTGCACCACCACGCCTGGCTTAACTTGTACCTTTATCAGAAAGATTTTCCATTCAACAACCTGTTATTTTACTGTGGAGAGAAAACATTTTTCACCTGGCCTTCCTTTTGATTTGTGAGTAAAACACATAGTTTTCTCATCCAGTATAATATGCTCTGTTGGTATGCAGTTTGCTTGATGAATTGGGAGTAGGGTCCTTCTGGACTCAGTACTCTACTTTCTTTATAAGCCAAAGCGTGAAATGCTAGGCAGCCATTGAAYGTCATTTTCTCAATATTTAAAGATATGTAAATATCAATGAAAGATCAGTAGAATGGAGGAAAGGGACCAGGRGTGAGAAGAGGTGGGGRGAGTGCTGGAAAGTGATTCTGACCAAATTATAGGGTTCTATCGTGTGCATGGACAGATATGYAGCAACAATCCCACCATTATCTCCAGTACAATGCACCAATAAAAAAGTAGGGGAAAAAAGATACGTGAAATACACTCTGCATAGAATACAAGACTATATACTGTGTCATGATTTTGATTTGTTTTATRCAGGCAGGCTGGAGCAGATATTACCACTGCCGTCCATCTGCCCTATCTCCGTACCATTCATGCCTACCCTTCTCACTATAAGCCCCATAACTATTAAAAATATTTTTCTTTTTTTTTGGGGGGGGCAGGGATGGTTACCAGAATTGAACCCAGGTGAGTTAACCACTAAGCCCCATCCCCAGCCCTGTTTTGTATTTTATTTAGAGACAGGGTCTCACTGAGTTGCTTAGGGCCTGGCTTTTGCTGAGACTGGATATGAACTTGCCATCCTCCTGCCTCAACTTCCTGAGCCACTTGGGATTATAAGTGTGTGCCACTGCATCCRGCAAATATTTTTGTTTATTGCAGAATCTTGACTGATCAATAGGCAGGACAGGCCAGAAATCCTGGGAAGTKAATGTCCCCTACAGTAGCCTTCATGCAATGACCAGCCCTTGGGTGGTACAACTCTAAGGCATATTCTGTCCCTTTGCAGGGTCACTCAGCAGGCCGACTCCACCTACAGTGCAGATCTGATCACCAACAAGCTTTGATTATCTTCTTTTCCTGTCCCRTCTTACTTTGCAATTGCCCTGTTGGTGTTTGTAAAGACGAATCCTCTCCAAATGAGTCGCACTCAAATCCTGACCTCAGGGTCTGCTCCTAAGAGGTTGAACCTAAGATGCTGGCATTGCTTGAGAAATCTATCATCATTAAGGAAGATCRATCAATCAATTAATCAGTCAAGTAGATCCTCACTTACTCTAGCTATGAATCATGTTACAAAGTGTTGCATATGCCAAACTAACAAACAAACAAAAGCTTAGCTGTGTAATGTTGAGAAAACTCATTTATCATTCCTRTTCCTTGTCTGTGGAGCAGAGATAGAATGACCTCTTTCACAATAACGTTAAATATATTAAATGAAATACATGCAAAATGTTTAAAATAAGGCCTGGCATTTGGTGAGTTTTCTTTTAGTACATTATTTTATTTCATAATCAAGTAAGAGTAATTAAAAATAAACGAGAAAACTAAAAAATAATTATTCTAGTTAATTCACAAACAAATGATGTGTTCCATCCCCAGCCCTTTTTAATGTTTTATTTAGAGACAGGGTCTTACTAAGTTGTTCAGGGTCTCACAAAGTTGCTGAGGCTGGCTTTGAACTCATGATCCTCCTGCCTCAGCCTCCCAAGCTGCTGGGATGACAGGCATGCACCAACACATCAGGCCAACCTTTTCCTTACATTGTATTTTATCCAAAATCACAGCAACTCCCACGATAAGCAGGGCCTAAATGCAGACACTAAAATGTGCACCTACTTTATTGCCTAACATTGATTGATTTGCTTTTAACTCTCTAATGTTTATTTAGGAGGCTCTGTGAGGTATTATTATGAGTCCAATTTTTTTTTCTTC